CCATTCTTGGCATTAGTCCTACTCAGTATTGCCATCTCGATCCTCTCTGCTTGCTGCCCTCCATCTCCAACGTCCCGCGCCCGCTCTCTCGGTTCCCCGTCCGTTTCTTGACATTAACACCAAGCCCAAGACTGGGTTCCCAGTCCTACTTCCTCCTCCTGACCCCAAGGCTGGACCCACGTGCCCTCCACTTCCTTGATGTTGACCCAGCCCAAGGCCAGACCCCACACCTTGCTGCCTCCCTGCCTGAGGCCTGCCCCTAGCTTCCCCAGCTTCTACCACTTAGACCTTCACCCATTTCCCCAGTACCATGAGGCTGGGCCTGGGTCCCCTCTGCTTCCTCCTCCTTAACCTGGAGGCAGGAATCCTGCTCCTTCCACTTCAACCTCCACCCCAGGCCAGAACCTTCCCTGTTTCCTTCACGTTGACCCCCAAGTGTTTTCCTGAAGAAAGTGACATTTTTATAGCCATCAGGAGGCAAGCTTAGGCAGAGTCCCAAAGTCATGACAGCCCAGGAAGCCAAGGCCCTGCCCAGTGCCCAGCTTTTGGGAAATAAAGCTAAAGATCTGGGCTCAGGTTTCAACACAGTTTTATTGGGAGGTTTTGTTTTCTGTGAAATACACTAGAGGTTGGGGAAGGGCACACATTCACTTTGCAAGATAAGGGTTTCCCACCACTAAGGGAAAGGTGTAGGGCGGGGCACACTGGGGTCTGGATCCATTTTCCCACCTCCTGCGTTGCTCACATTTCTCTCTCTCTCAGCAAGTACCAGAGGACACAAACAAAAAAAACAAGAAACAAAAACAGCAAACTCCACCTCGGATGGGGCCATACCCAAGCCCTCTTCCCTCCCAGGCTGCCCAGGTGGCCAGGGGAGCTGCTCCACAGCCCCAGGCCTCACCAGCAGACGGCAAGGGAGGGGCACAGCACTCCCTTCTCAGACAGGGTGGGCAAAAGTTAATAACTTAGAATAAATTAATGGGGTCGGGGGGAATGCAACTTTGTGCTGGGAGGGCCCCTTCTCTCCAACACGCAAGAGAGTTGGTGGGGGGAGGCAGGGGGCATCTCCAAAGGCCACTACAGTAGGGGGTCAGCGGTGGGGGCAGAAGTAAGCTTTCCTCCCCATTTTCCCAAACAGAGCAGAAGAATTAGGGGTGGGGGGAAGAGATACACACAAGGAGAGGAACCCTCTTTTCCCAGGATAAGGAAGGGCCAAGAAAGAGGATGCTATCGAAACCCCTGTCTCCCAAACCATCACTAAGGTTAAGGATTTGGTCAGTGTATCAATGAGGTGGGTGACAGGAATGTGGTGGGGGAAGCAGAGAATGCTGGAAATAGGGGTGCCCAGCCACGCCTATCTCCCCAGTCCTGGAGAACAGACACGAGTGGGGGGAGAGGGCACCCGGGGCTGGGGGAGGGTCAGCAATCACTGGTCAGCTTCTCCAAAGACATCGTTCTGTTTGCGCTTCATGTTCTCAAAGTCAAAGGCGGAGCCTGCCATGCGCTTGTAGATGTCTTTGATGTCATTGCAGGTTGTCTCAAAATGTGTGGTAGCATCATAGGAGCAGGAACAGAACACCTGAAAACAGCCAGAGCCGGGGCCCAGAGTGAGTTGGGCTGGGGCCCTGGGCAGGAAGCCAGGAGCCGGGGCCGGGACAGGCTGCTTACCTGGCTCTCAGAACCATCATCGATGGGCTCATACAAGTCACTGATAGCCACAAACCTAAGGGGCAGATGGAGGGGAAGGGTCAGGCCTCAAAACCAGCCTGGCCCTCACTGGTACCGGTCCCCCACTCCCCAAGCTCCTTGACTCCCTTCATACCCCCCGGCCACTCACTTTTGGTCAATGGGCTCCAACAGCTCCAGGGCCGGTTCGACCTCCTTTTCGGGTTCTGCAGTCTCCACCGTGGTGCTGGCGATGGCAATGTACTTGCCCTGAGCAGCCACGTTGTGTGCGTAGGAGATCATGCACACGTAGATGTCTGCCCACAGAAAGGGCTCATTAACTCGAGCACACAAAGGGCTCCCGGGGGCTGGGCTCAATTCAGGCCTACCTGCCCCTCTCCAGGCCCACACAGCAGGCAGCATCCAAGATGCCACTCTCATGAAAGGGAAGAGTCCGAGCCACCCAATCCCTAGGAACCCAAGTATTGGGGACTATGATGTGGGTCCCCCTTCCTCCATGGAGGGATCAGGCAGAGAGCCCCAAGGCTGATGGGAAGCGGCAGTCACCCCAAAGAACACACTAAAGGAAGTCAGTGGGGCTTGGCCTACCTGACTTCCTGTTGACCTGGTTTTGGGGGATGATGATTTGGCAAGAGTTGGCATCGTTGGTGTTCTTGATGGGGTGGCTGAGGATACAAATGATGCGGATAACCTGGCCAGCCTTCCGCACACGGTCTGGAACGTAGCTGGGGTCACAGATCAGCTGCTTGCATCGGGCCACCTGTGAAAGCAACGGAAAGCCCTGTCCCTATCCAATCACCGCCGCCCCGACATGGTTGTGGGGATGGGCCCACAGCTAGGGCTGGCAGCTCCGGCAGGCAGGCAGGGCACTCCTCAGAGCTGTCACCACCGACTGTAGCATACAACTTCATCCTGCATCTCAGGGAGGTATACCCCAATATGCAGAGCTGGGCAACACCCTCTGATGAGACGCTGTGATCAGGAACACTGCCTGGACTACTGACACAGCACTAGGGCTGAGTGATACCTCACACCAACAGGAATGGATATGTAGTCTCCTTCTGGAGCCCCAGTACCCCGCCCGAGGCCCTCAGAGCTAAGTAGCAGCAAACCCAGCACAGCTGGGGTCACTGGGAAGAGGGCCTCTAACGAGGGGAACAAGCCCCACCCAGACCATCATGACTGCACTCTGGGGAAGGCTTACCTCTCCCTCAGACTGCACACCCACCACCTTGCCATTCTCCATGATGATGTCGTCCACAGGTTTGTTTAGCATATATGTCCCCCCATAGATGGCACTCAATCTGTGGTGGGGAGAGTGATGGTGAAGTTCCCACCCAGGAGAAACGAGGACCAGTGCCACTGCATCCTCCCGCTACCAGCAGTGGGGTGCAGAGAGGGCTGCCCCAGGCAGGCAGGGCTCAGGAGACCCAGTGGTTCTTCCCAGCTCTGTCACCCACAACATCCTGCAAAGGGCTAGCATAAGGGTGGCATGAGGGCACAGCTCCTCACGGAAACGGTCTGGGGAACAAAACAGAGGGCTCTGGAGAAGCCCTGACTCAAAGTTCCAAGGCCCCCGGCCCAGTCACAGTGCTGCCTGACTCAGGCCAGGAGCTGAGTATGCCCGATCTGTGGGGGTCCAGCTCTTCAGCTCTGCAGGTCAAAGCACTGTGGCAGCGCCCATCTCCCAAGGAAAGTGCCAAGTAAATGAAAAACACAATGGGAAAGTATAAAATGCTACAGAAATGCTCAAGGGTGCCATTTCCATTCTTGGCATTAGTCCTACTCAGTATTGCCAACTGAAAGAAGCCATGCCCTCACCTTGCAAAGCCCTGAGGCAGCTCACCAAGGCCATAGAGTGGATATAAATATGGGCTCTTGCCATACCGGGCCAGGGACTCGCTGTACAACTTGATGCGGTTGATGGTCTCAAGACAGGGCTGATCCAGGTAGCTGGGGGGACAGGGTCAGGAGAAGAGGCTCCAATAGCAACACCCCTGGCTCACCCCCACCCAGACACCAGGCCATATCGCCCCCCACCTTCAATGGCCTGGGGAAGATTATGAGTTAAAACACAGGGAAGGAATGGAAAAGGCAACATGTAAGTGTGTGACTGACTACAAAAGACGTGCAGTGTAGGCCAAGGGAGCAGCAGGCAGCAGTGGGGAGGGCAAGGTTCAGGCTGGGCAAGGAACAGTTTGCCATGCCAGCTTCTCAGCTCACTCATCAGTGCGGTAGAGCGCCAGGGCGTGGCCAGTGAAGTCGATGACATCCTGCCCCAGGTCAAACTTCCGGTAGACTTCACGCATGCTGGTGCTCTGGGGATCAACGCCCTCAAAGGTCTTGGGATCGTTCTCATCAAAGTTTGCCACAAACACCAGGAACTTGCGGAAGCGCCGTTTCTCAAACATACCCATCAGATCTACAGAGATGATCAGGAGACCCTTCACACCACGGTACGAACATCTCCTTCCCACTAAGCAGGCCAAGAAAGCAGGTACCCTGGTTCCCAGCTGAGTTCTCTTGCTAACCACTGTGTGACCTTAGATTAACACCCCTCTGCCCTTGTTGGCCTCGGTTTCCCCATCTCTACAAAGAAGGGGTTGGGCTGGACAGGCTCTGAGGGCCCTGCAGGCTCTGACACTGGAGGATGTGTCACTGGTCAGGTGAAAGCCCTGTCAAAGGCTGAAGTCTTTCAAGGAACTCCCCTCCACATCCCCTCTGCACGTGGAACTTCCCTCCCGGCAACCAGGGAGGCACAGCCCAGGGTGGCAGAGGGAAGACGGAGCAAGGGGCTTCCCGTACTGCATGGAGAATGTGACCTTGGGCAAGGGGCACCCTGCTCTGGATGGCTGCCCCCGCCCTCAGGATTCTCTGACTCAGGGGACCCGCACTCACTGGAAGCCAAGGCTTCAGTCTCCGTGGATGGCACTTTGTAGATCTTGCCCCCCTTGTAGACAAAGCTGCCCTCTACCACCTTGAAATCCAGGTAGCGCGTCACCTCTGTATACAGTAGCATCTTTACCAGTTGCCCTGCAGGGCGGTGAGGGGAAAGCAACAATGATGATCAGCATGGCTCCTTCCAGAAGCTCTAGCTGCTCAGGCTGCCCCTTCTATGGAGCCCAACCCTCCTTTGGTCATCCCAATCACCCCCAATACCTCATTCATCTCCCTCACCATTGGCCATGAGGAATTTGGGGATCAGGTCAACATTCCAGTCTCGGCCCCTGCCCATCGACTCAGGGGGCCCCTCCAGCAATTGAAAACGCTTATACAGCTGCAAGCAGGAGGGAGAGAAAGAAAGGCACCTCAAAGACCACCCCTCCCTCACTCCCCTGCCCAAAGAACCTGGGGAGCTGCTTCAGTGCCCTATGTGAGAGATTGACAAGGGACGGGCCTTGATGCGGGTGGCCTCACCTCCTCCAGGGGTGTGATGGAGGAGCTCTCGCCCCCATAGTAGGGGTTCCGGTCCATGTGCAGCACTTTCTTCCCATTCACGGACATGATGCCCGACAGGATGCACTCCTGGGGAAGAGGTGACATTTGCTGCACTCCCACCTGCCCACATTCCGAACAGCAGCCCTGATTTGTTCCCCACCCCACAACTGGAGACGAAAGCAAAGCAAATGGACAGCTCCTTCCACCCCAAGCTGGTTGCCTCCCCTAAAACTGGAGGCAACGGCTTCATCCAACCAGTCTCCTTTATAACCTTGCTGGGTAAAGGAGTAAAGAAAAAAGAAATAGCGGAGCCATGGAAGAAGAGTGTCCAGCAGATGCGCGGAGAGTCTTCCAGCAACTACCACGCTAAGAAAATCATCTATCTACATAGAGTAGCAGGAAAAGACAGGTGAGACACAATGAGCAACAGAGAAGACCCAGCTGGACAGTGAAGCCCCCCCCCACCCCGGAAGGGAAGTGAAGCACGGTTCTGGAATCGCAGGCCCCACCCTGGGCTGCTCGGTCCTCCAAGTTGCCCCTGACCCAGGCCTTCCAGGCCCGGGAAGAGGCTTCTGCGCCCCAACTGAGGGAGATGAGCCTCTCAGGGGAGCGGTCCAACGGGGTTTGAGGGAAGGGGAAGATAAACACCCTCACCAGTTAGTGTAATCAGCCCAAGGACAAAGGCTGCAGACACTAAGCCTGAGGTCTCCATGGGAAGACCAGGGTGGGGTAGCGGAAAAGTGGTCAGTGCCCCCACTGCTGCTACTTCTGGAATATTCCCTGGGTCCCCTGGCCACATAAAAAGCCGGGGAGGCAGGATGAGGACCCACTCTGGCAAAGCCCTCGGACCCGAGGTCCTTGTACTTCATCCCCACCAGGATTAGCGCAAGATGGGAGGGGATGCTGGACGGGTGACGGGTGCAGGCGATGGGCAGGGGCCAGGGGACACTGGGGGGAGGGGGGATCGGGCCGAGGGGAGGTGCGTTTTCCCTGGCCGAGGTGGCATGGGTCCAGTGGTCAGAGCCCCGGGAAATCGAGGAGGCGGAAAGGAAGGGGGTCTCTTTTTGGAAATGGGGCCACAGCGGTGGGTAGAGGTGACGTCGCGAAGGGGGGGTGGGCATGGGGCTGTTTCTTCGGGAACCCGACCGCCACGGATGGCAATGATGGGAGGATGGGGCCCGGGGCAGTAACACCGCGGGGAGGAGGGGGAGATGCGGGAGCAAGGGCGCCGGAGGCCGCACTTACGGTGAGGCCGGTACCCAGCACGATCACATCGTATTCCTCATCCATGGTCAGAGCTCGGTGCCAGCGCCGTCGGCTCCTCCTCCTCCTCCTTCACCACAGCCGCCGCCGCACTGGACCAAAGATGGCGGCGCGCCGGCTCCGCCCGACCCCTCCGCCGCGTCAAAGAGTCCCGGCCCCTCCCCACGCCCCGCCGCGCCCGGCCCGGGCCACCGCCTTCTAGGCTCGCCTCCCGGGAGGGCTGCCAAGGCCAGGGTCCCAGCCCCAGCACGGCTCCGCAGGCGGCGCCACTCTCGGAGAGCCCTGTGGGGTGTGGGGCGGGGCGGGGCGGGGCGGGCCGGTGTCCGGTGCTGCGACCGAGGGATCCGTGCGCGCGGGAGCCTCTCGCGCCCGCCCCGCCCTTCGGGAGGCTCGGCGCGGCCCTGATGGTTAGGTGCTCCCGCTGCGGCAGCCGGGGGTGCCCCCTGGGGACAGGGGGGCAGCCATTGTCACTACCGTCTCCCCCAAGCGCTGACCACCCCCGCCCTTCCTGCCGACGCGCTGCAGCCCCCTCCCTACACTAGCCGCTCAGGAGCCCAGCTTGCTAAAGACCCTCCAGCTCTCCCCTAGCTCCCCCGGAGAGGCAGTCCACAGGACCCCTAGAGGCCTTCCCACCACCCCCTTGGCCAGCTACATCTGGGCTCCTCTCCCGCAGCCCTCAGCCAAGCGCATTCGTCATATCCAGTGCAGAAATGAGTGACAAGAAGCTGAAGCATGGCGACCCTTCTTTATTTTATTAGGAAGGAAACCCAACGAGCAGCCCAGGCTCCTGCCAGGCACTCCAGGCAGGAACATGCCAGAAACCCAGTCAGCACACCCAGCACACCCAGCCCACCTGCCGTGGAGGTCCCTTCCTTCTCAGGCCACAGAAATAAACCCTAATGTACTGCTTATTGTTAGCACAACATCACCAAAAAACAGTAACACCAGCCAAGCCAGACAGTTAAATAGTATTTATACCCCACCCCCCAACTCAGGGAACTCCAGCTCCTGGCTGCTGCAGGGAGCCCCAGAAAGCCAGGGAAGGAGCACTGACTACACAAAAGCACTATAAACAGCGAGGGGTGAAGGTGGAGTGATGAGAATAAATAAGGAAAAGGGGGAAGGAGGAACGGGCATTCAAGTCCCTTCCCCTCACAATCACCAAGCCTGGGAGATCTGTCTACTATCTATGCAGAATATGTACACCTTGTTGGTAAAGATGGGGGATGGGCAGCCCCAGGGAAGCCCCTCATGGGTGGAACAGGGAGCAAGACACGGCTGAGGGAACTGGGGTTCATGCTATGGAAGACAGGAAGCCCTTCGGTGCACCATGCCTCGAGGTGAGACAGCGACAACCTGGACACCATCACACCCTCAATCCCCCATGGGCACCGAGTCACACAATCTGGGTCAAAGTGATGGCGGGGCCCTTGTGGTCATCAAAGCGGTCCATCGTCTTGAGGCTGAGGATCATGTGCAGACCATAGGTGAAGATGAAAAGCATGAACAGGGAGGTGAGCAGCCCCATCCAGATGCCCGGGGAGAAGAAGCCAGCACAGTCACTGGCATAGGAGAACTGCTCGCCCTTCACGTTGAAGGCCTGGATCTGGGGAACAGAAAGGACTGCGTGACCCCACAGAGAGAGAGGGAGGCCCAGTAAGGGCTGGGGTTCCCGAGTTAGTGGGTAGTCCAAATTTCACGGGATGGGAGCACCGTTGGGACAGGATTCTAGACTACATTCCTGAGCCCAAAGGATGCTGAGACTTCAGGCCTCTAGTCCCTCCCCTCTCTGCCAGCACCTTGCTACCTCCAGCCTGGGCTCCTCCCTGCTCCCTACCTGGAAGTCCTCAAGAGTCATCTGCCAGAGAGAGGGCTGTGTGCGAGGCACAAGGAGATTGTCGTTCTTGCTCAGACTGCTGACGTACTGGCAGTGGAAGGAGTAGATGCTGGGCCCCGTGACCTCGGAGGCATTGAAGTAGACCACGGACCCATTGCTGTGGATTTCCAGGCGCTCCATGGTAAACCAGTGCCGTGCTGACACTGGGTAGAAGCGGTTTACCAGAATGAACCTGCCGGAGGCCGCGGGATGTCAGGCAGCTGAGGAAGCCAGAGTCACGCCAGTCCACCCACACCTTAACCCTCAGACTCACTTGAATGTCACCGTGGTACCAAAGAGTTGTTCATAGGTCAGCGCAAGCCTACAAGGCCAGAGTAAGAGGCAAGTTGTTAGGCTCTGGAAGGGCCTTGAGCATCTTAAATCAGGTTGCTCAAGTCTGCTTCTACCTAAGCTGCCTGGGTCTTCACAGCCACCTGAAGAGGCAGTGCCCCCACTTGACAGATGGGAAAACTGAGACCCCGTCACATTTTAGGTCAGGAACCAGCACGCAGGTCCCCCACCTCCATCTGAAGGCTCCTTCCTCTGGATCCCCTGAGCCCACTGCCCCTCCCCCTTTCAGCTCCCCCTTGGGGTCACTGAGATGCCCAGGTTGGGCTTTGGGGGTGAGGGCAATTTCTCTCGCCACACGGTAAGGGTACGGGAGCCCTAGAATTCACTGGGGCCTGGTATGCGCCCTCGTGTAGTCACCTTCAGGTTGCTCAAGGGAGGAGGTGTCAGGTTCCCAAGTGACTGGGAAGTATGAACAACCAGGGTCCCAGCCAAGGACTAGAGGGCATGGGGAAGCAGAACTCTGAGCACCCCCGACTTCAAGAGCCCTCCACCAGTCTCACCCTATATCACCGGCATCCCCAGAGTGAACATCCCCAACACATACACCCACCTGCAGTGGCAGGTACTTTGCCCTTACCTGGCAAAGGAGTCATTCCAGAAGGAGCCAGTCAGGTTGAGGTCCTGGACCCCAAAGGTCATGGGGGTCAGGTCCTTCCACTGGTTCCCATATACCACCGTGAAGTTCTGGGCCCAGAACAGGATCCGGGGAGCAGTGTCATTGTAACTCACAGGTTGGGTCACAGCTGACACTGGCTGGTTTTGCAGCAGCTGGCGGCCTAGCCCCCCAGCCACCATGGGTACATCACGGGCCACCTGCAGAAACAGCCCACAAGCCTTCTCTCAACAGCCCTGGGAGCAAGCCTCAAACCAAGTGGCCTGCCCTCACTGTCCCCCCAGGTACCCTCTCTACCATCTGTAGTCCCACCGGTCATACTCTGAGGCTCTTCCTCCAGGAAGCTTTCCCTGGCTGGCCCCTAAGCCTTTGTGATATTCCTAGCCCCTCCAATTTAGGAATACTTGGACTTATTGCCCGAGCATGCCAGCCTGTAAGACTGATAGGGCAAGATGGAAAGCTGCACCTGGAAGGATTAGGCAGGACTTTACGATTCCTATTCATCCCCCCTGACATCGAGCCAGGGGAGAAGCCAGCTCCCATCAAGACACTCTACTAGGAGCCATCCACCCCTCCAGGCTGACTCACCATGCAGCCTCTGCCCACACCTCCCAGAGCCCCTGAGGAAGGGCACGTACCCTGGAAGGGTGGACTGCCGTGAGGGCTGCTGTGTATGGGACATCTTCAGACTTGAGTGTGCTCAGCACCTGCCCAATAACCTCATCTAAGGGGCAATGGGAAAAACAGAGAACCAGGTCACAGGCAGACGCTAATGGCAACACTCCCCACCCGATGTTAGAAACCATCTGACCTTCACAAGCAGAAGCCAGCAGAGGCAAGGTCATGCCCTTCCATGTCCCACATCAGAGTCCTCTCTTGGTGGCACTAAGTGAGATCACCTCGTTGAGGTGGGAACCACCAGGTGTCTGGACTATGAAGTCCCCCCACCCTTGGCAAATGGCATGTCCTCTATGGTGGGACACTGAGACCCTTGAAGAGCCGGCTCCCATCAACCTTCACTAGTGTTTTCAGTTTCCATTAAGGATTATTCCTAATAGCAGCTGCTTCTCATCCCGTCCACCCCCAGCCTCCACTGGGACACCTGTGGCCTAAATCACCAACTCCCTAACGTCAAGCCCTAACTATGGGGAATGAGGAAAGACAGAGTTATAAGAAATTCCAAAGCTACCCACAGAAGGTTTTGATGACCTTTCCATGAGGAATGATTCCTTTATAGCAAGAAGAGGACAAGTCTTCAGAACTGGTTTTGGAAATGTTGCTGGTCTATTAAACCCAAAACTACGGATTCACGCTGCCTGAGTGGTAACTGGCTCCACAGGCTCCTGCACAGAGGACCCCTAGGTGCCCCAAAACCTTTGCCAGGCAGGGCCCAGCTGGAGAGGGGTGAGGCCTGGGGGGCCAGCATTTCCTTGCTCAGCTGCCAGTTGTTCCAAGAAGCAGGGCTGCTGCCCTAGGAATGAGGAGGGGCTGAGGAGCAGTAGGCCAGCACTCTGCAGCTGAGGGCTGGATAAGGATGGAAAACGTGTACCCTTCCTGACCCCACTCACCATTGCCTGTGAGGACTTCCCTAGGTGCCATCAGACCCGAGCTATGGAAGAGACAGAGCATTAGAGCCCCTGCAATCCACCATCCGGGGCCACATCCCCTCTGCCCCTCCATGCCATATCCTTCTCCACTAGTCCCATTCACCTAGCAACACTCTAGCTGGGGGCTTTGGGAGCCACGTTCGCTGCTCCCTCCACAACTTGTGCTCACCTCATAGCCCTGCCTGGAATCCCTTGCCCCACCCGGCGCTGCTTCACAGTCCTGCTCATGTCCCTGCCACCTGCTGCGTGAATGGGTCCTGGCTAGGCAAGTCGGCTCCCCATCACCAGGGCCCACGTCTCTCTCGTCTCTGGAGGCCCGACAGGCCTAGCTCAGTGTGGGCATTGACTCCTGAGCCACAGCCCAGCCAGAGGCTCTTCCTGCCTCTTCTGGCCAGAGTGCACCTTCTGGAAGGGCTTCAAGGTTCTCAATGGGAGGACTGTCATCTTTGAGTTGTGCTACCAGAGCCCAGAGCCTTGCAGCTGCAGGCTAGGCCATACCTGGCTGTGTAGGGCAGGCGGATGAGAAGCAAGGCTGGGAGGCTGGCATTGAGCTTCAGCTCCCGCAGGGTGGCCAGGTCCACGTGCAAGGGGCTGGCCCCGAGCTTCTCCTGCAGGTAAGTGGTCAGAGTGCTGACCGCATACCAGTCGACAGCTGGAAGCACCAGAGAGGAGGGGGCCAGGTCCAGGGCATTCTGGGGACAGAGAAGAGGTGGGGAATGAGTTAGCAAGGGACCAGTACACCTGGGCCAGCCCCCCAAACCTCTCTGGGAAGCCACACCCACACAGGAATCTCATTCCGGGTCAGAAAGAAAACGCCCCATGCCCTTGGCCTGACACTCAGGCCTTTCTACTCCCAAAGCCAGCATCTCTGGTTCCTAAGGGGACAGTTCTTATTGTGCTGGGGGCGGGGGTACAGGACAGCTCCCATGGCCCTCAGCTGGGAGAGGACTCTTACCTCCAGGTTAGAAAAGGCACTGTCCTGCTTGTTTCCAAACACACCGCCATATGCCGTGAAGTCCTCAATGCTCAGCTAGTGGGGAAGCAGGGAAGACAGACTCAGAAGGTAGAGTCAGGGCCAGGGCAGGGGGCAGACACCTTCCCTGAACATATGCAGGGCCAGCAAAATCTCATTTAGAGCCAGATGTGGTGTGGTCGAAAGAGCAAGCAAGGGCGAGTTTGGGGGTGGGGGTGGAAGGTTCCTCCTTTTTTCTTTAGCACCCTCCAGGCAGGGTGAGGGTGAGAAAACACGGAAGGCAGTCATGCGGCTGGGGGGAAATCTGCGGGCAGCTGATTTGTGGTAACCTCAGGAGTAAGAGTCAGCTGCCTGCCTGTAGACAAGAGGAACTGGGTAGGGAAGAGGGAAGCTGGGGAGGGGGCTGGGGGCAGTTAGAAACATTTACTGCATGCCCCCGCAACGAAATCAAAGAAAAGGAGAACCTGCATGCCAGCTGCAACAGCTTGAGCCACCTAAGTCCAGTCTGGATGGAACATTTTTTAAAGGAGGGTGAGAAGTCCCCCTCCCCATCTGGTTTTGGTAGAAGGGGAGAAGGATGTGAAAATCTTGGAATGTGCTGGAGGAAGCACTGAAGTCTTCTGAGCTCTCTGGACCACAGTAACCCCGACACCCATCCCCTTTCCTCTGCAACCTAGACATGTCCTTCAACTCCTGCCCCTCCACCACAGCTCCCAGCTTCCTCTGGCTTTTCCCAGCTAGGCCTAGGGGAGATTGTAATCAGCTTTCCTAACCTCATTTTGTTTAGTATACACACTTGCCCAGCGTCCTCTCGCTTCTGGGCAGGAATCCTGACCCTGTTTGGCCACCTGGGCTCTCCTTCTGAAAGCCCAGGAACCACCACTATCTCTTCATAGCACTCCCTCCTCAAAATAACCCACGGCTTCCTGCCACATTTAGAACTGCGACTAACCTTTTTCCCTCCTCATCACCTGGCTACTGCCTGACCACTTCCAGCTCTTTCTCTCTCACTACACTACAGCAACACCAGCTCTCCCATGGGCTCACCAAGAGCATTCCTTGCCCAGGGCCTTTGCACCTGCTGTTCCCTCTGCCAAGAACACCCTTCCCCCCATAGCCACATGGCTCCATCCCTCCTTCCATTTAGGTCTTTGCTCAGGTATCACCTCCTCACTGAGCCCTTGCCTGATCACCCTTATCTTACACAGGGTTTCAAGCCACTCCGGCCCCTTAGCCTGCTGCTTTCTTCTCTAAACACTATAGCACTGACATTATGTCATATACGAAGTTAGCATTTACTTGTTGCCCTCATGAGAATGTCAGCTTCCTCAGGGTAAGAGCTTGGGTTATTCTGCTCACTGTTATGTCCCCAACATTTAATAACTGGTACATAGTAGGCAGTTCATATTTGGTAAATGGATGAATGCCATAAGACAGGTGGACCCCAGCTAGATGTTTTACATGGATTTTAAGAACTGCTCCTCACAGCCCTCTGATGTAGGTGTTATCTTCATTTTACAGATGCAGAAACTGGCATTCACAGATTATTCCACATGTCCAAAGGCTGGTTAAGTAGTGGAACTAGAACCGATTTCCAGTCAGACTACATTATGAACTATCTCCTGGAGGGACTACAGGCCAGCATGACTGCCACAACCTGCCCACAGAGTGACATAGCAAGACCACAAGGGGAATGAGCCATACAGGCCACCAACAAGGAAGGGACAAGCAGAAGCCCGATAACTTCCAAACACCAAACCCACACTGCTCTAGAATCTCCTCATGATCTACATGCCCGCTTTGGGGAGGACAAAGAGACCTGGATGGGAGGGAAAACAGTGTGCCGGTTTATAAGCACGAACTGGGGGAGGGGGTTATCCGACGGACTCAGGCTGGAACCAATTGTGGTGTACATAAACCAGTCCATCACTGCACCTCTACAAGCCTTAGTTTCCTTGGCAGTAAAACCAAGATAATGACATCAGCTCTGCACAGTGCAAATGAAGCAACTCAATAAGTGATCGTTTTTTGATTATCTCTATTATGATCATGGAGTTAGAATCACAACTCTGCCACCCATTAGGTGTGTGACCTTGGGCAAGTCACTTCCCCTCCTTGGGCATCATCAGTCTTCGCATCTGTAAACAGGGTCGATAGTCCCCACCAGAGTACAGTAGGTCAGATTAAGTGTTTGGTACTCAGTAGGCATCTGGACTCTGACCCCTTGCTTCCCCAATCAAGTTGGTGCCATTTTCGGGCCTTCACCATTCCCATTGAACCTTCTTCTACAGGCCTTCTCAAGAGAGGAGCCACACCTCCTTGCAGTTGAAAGAAGGTCACTGAAGCGTCCCTTGTGGGATGGGCCTCAGTGTCCTGGGACCAAGGCTCGAGAGGGCTGGGGCGGGCGCACCTTGTCCTGCAGGAACAACAGCACATTGCGGGGGCCCAGCTCCAGGGCGGGGTCTAAGTAAGTAGAGAGCTGCATGTCGCTGGTGATGTGGCCCTCGTGGGTATCGACCGCAGGAGCCCACAAGTCCCTGTCGGGGGACAGAAGAGGTGCTGTCAAGCGAGAGCCCATGGCTTGAGATCTGAAGCCCATGGGCTCCCAGCTTGATGCGTGGGGCCCGGAAATCTGACCCTACCCAGTAGCTACGGGCCGCCGAACAAGAAACAGTACCCTCTGGGCCTCGCTGCTCCTCGCCGAGGACAACCCTGGAGTTGGGCGAGGGCACCTCAGCCGCTACGGCGCGCAGCGAGGCCCGCCCCGGCGCACCCTGCTCGCTCACCGGTCACTCGACCACAGCACGAGCGGCACCTGCTGCTCCGCCGCTGTCGCCGCCACCACCACCAGCAACAGTGGCAGACACCGAATCTGCCACAGCGCCGGGGCTCGCTGCGTCCTCGCCGGCACCCGAGCCGCCGCGGTCACCGCCATCATAGCTTTAGCCTCGACTATCTCGACCACCGCTGCCGCCGCAGATCAGGTGACCGTCGCCCCCGCCCAATCTCCGCCCCGCGCCACCATTGGCCAAAGTGCAGGCCCGCTGTCCAGGGCTGTAGATGATTAGACAAGGCGTATGCCACTCCTGGCCACTCCTTTTTACTGATTGGCTGTACGTGTCTCCAAGCACGCACGTTCCTGGTAGGAAAGGGGGCGGGGTCAAGCTCAGTCAGCTCCCACCGCGAGTCGGCTGTCCCGCGGGTTCGGACAGTACAGGACAGGCGGGGCGGGGCCAATGGGGGGCCAGGGAGGGCGCCTCTCTACAGGTCCCTACACGAACGGCTTCGCCTCTGTTTTAATCTTTCTGCTTAAAATTGCAAGAGTAGTTAATTTTTCCTGCAGATGGACCCTCTGTGGGGAGAGAAAAGGGCCCAGGATAGCGTCTGGAGGTACACCAGCACGTACAACAGGCAGGGAGGAGGGTCCATTGGAGAAATCCGAGGAGCATCAAAGCAGAGGGGAAAACCCAGGGAGAATCTTGGTTTCAAGGACACCGTGATTAATAATGTCACTGTCAACTGCTGCCAGGAAGCAGGTAAGATGAGGACAGGAAACTGTTTATTGGACTTAGCAATAGCTAGAGACTTGAGCAAGAGCGATGTCAGTGTGAGGAAACAGAGACACGGTGTAGGATTGCCCTTTCTCGAAGTTTGCCTTAAAGAGAGGAAAGAGACAGAGTGACAGCTAGAGTCAGAAGATAGGAAACACCGCCCCAAGTGAATTGGGAGACTTTTATCTTTTTCTGTGCCTTTTGTTTTGTTTTGTTTTGTTTTGTTTTTAAGATTTTTATTGGGGAATGGGAACAGCGCTAAGGAGTTGGGGGAAGGGGAACAGACAAGTTGCTGTCCTTTTGTTCTTCAGTCTAGTTGTAGAGGACGTTGCTTCACTGGCCCAAGTTGGCACCATCATTGCGCTCTTCCTGGGCGAGGCAGATCGGTAGCTGGCATCTGGACAGCCGCTCACGCTTGCTGCTGACTACACACGGTAGCCCATGGCAACCCACTGCAGCAGGGGCTGCAGCCTACGCTGTGGCCAGAGACTCAGGGCAGCCCAGCTCCAGGTTGAGCTGTTGTTCAGCATCTTAGCTGTAGAGGGCAGTGTCACTGGCCCTCATATGTGGGATCCGAACCGGGGCCCTCTGGCGTCCCAAGCCAGCTCTTAACCAACGCGCCACTCGGCCGGCCCTGTGCCATTTGTTTTGTTTGTTTGTTTGTTTGTTTGTTTGTTTGATTGATTTTTAGCTGAGCCATCCTGCCACCTGTTGGCAGCTCAGCTCGGTCCAGGCATTGAAACGCTGTTGCTCAGAGCTCGCACCCTTGAGCGAGCTCTTAACCAACTGAGCCACTCAGCCGGCCCTTCTGTGCCATTTTTTGATTTCTCCCATTGGTGACCAGTAGAAACAAACAAAAAAACCCCTCATAACTATAGCCAAATATTGAATGCATTAAGGATATGTACACTGATTTATTTAGGAGGAAGTGGACTGATGTCTGAAACTTAATTTGAAATGCACCAAAAATAAAATGGAGAGAAATGTTGGTACAGAGCTAGGTGTGTGATAAAGCAACGATAGTAATATGTTAATGGCAGAAGCTTAGGGGTGGGTGGATGTGTGTTCACTGTAAGCTTTTTCTTAACTTGCTATATATGTACTGGGCTGAACAGTACATCTAGAACTTGTAAATGTGACCTAATTTGGAAATAGGATCTTTGGAGATGTAATCAAGATAAGGTCATGCTGGATTGGGGTGGTGTCCTTATATAAGAAGAGGGAAATTTGGACACAGACAGACACACAAAGAAGGCTGACTGATGGAGACAGATTAGAGTGATGCAGCTGCAAACCACGGAGCTCCTGGAGCTACCAGAAGCTGGAAGAGGCAGGAAAGATTCTTCCCCAGAGCTTTCAGAGGGAGGCACTGCCCTGTTGACACCTTGATTTTGGACTGTTGGCCTTCAGAACTGGGGGAGAATAAATTTCTGTTGTTTTAAGATGCCTAGTTTGTGATAATCTGTTACAGCAGCCCTAGGAAACTAATATACTATATGTTTGACGTTTCTGATAATAAAAATACATGAAGAAGAAAGTTTAATAATGCCCACCATCAGCAAGGATGTCGGGAAATAGAGTCTCACCTACACAGTGGTAAAAGTATCAATTGGTAGACACTTTTTGGAGGATAATTTGGCAGCATCTCACAAACCGTAAAATGTGTATGACCTTTAACCAAGCAATTTCCCTTTTAGGGATCCATGCCACAGAAATATTCAGCTGAGCACAAGATGCATGTACAAAGAGATCCATTGTGGCACCATTTATTTGTATTTGCAAAAAGTTGGGCACTCATGACCGGACACTGCACAGCTGCTACTGCTTCCACCACTGCCCCACAAACACCAGGATGTTTGTGACTTTAACCAGAAGGCTGCTAAAGAAAACCAACACCCCTAGGGCCATGCCTCTCATGGGCAGAATTCAGTCTGCATGCAGATCCCTTGATGCAGTGCAGGAAGGAGGCACATCAGTAGGAGCTAGATGCTGGGGGCTACCATACCAAGTACACAGTGACTCCCTCTCAGCCCCGTGTAGCTGACAGCCCGTTGATCCCCTCCACTTGTCAGAGAAACTGCTTATGAGATAGTAGTTGTCGTTGTCACAAATGTGGCTTGGATTAGGACAGTGGCAGCTGAGCTAGAGAGAGGAAGTGGGCTTCACAGAACATGGTCGAGGAAGACGGTGGCCAAAGGTGGCTCTCGGGTCTCTCTGAGTTGGGGACTGGGAGATGAGGTCAGTTGGGGACACATAAGTTTGTGGTGTTTGTGGGACCTTGAGATGCTGTCATTTATAAGATATTTATTTGGTCTTCCTCCACAGTTCCTGGCTCACTGCTTTCGAAACCCTTGGAAATTCCCAAGAGTGATCAAGGTGTCTTTTGTTATGTTAATGAGGTGACTTAGCACCTAAGACCGGTGGCTGGTTGCCCATGGAGCCAATCATGGGATTAGAGGGCTGGAACTTTCAGTCACAGCCGCTGAGGGGATAGAGGTCGAGTTGGTTGCTAATGGCCAGTGATTTCGTCAATCACAACTATGGAACGAAGCTCCATAAAAACCCAGGAGGACACCTATTAGTAATCTAGTTAGTAACATGTTTCCTGGAGCTCTGTAGGCCGTTCTAGCAAATTAATTGAACCCAAGGAGGGGGTGATGGGGACCTCCAGTCTATAGACAGTCAATCAGAAGCACAAGTGAGAAGCTGAGCTTGCGACTGGCGCCTGAAGTGGAGGGAGATCTTGTGGGACTGAGCCCTCAACCCACGGATCTGATTCTGTCTCTGGGTAGATAGTGTCAGAATTGAGCTGAATCCTCACACACCCTGCTGGTGCCCCGAATTGCTTGTTGGTGTGGGAAAGCCTCCACGCACGTTGCAATGTGGTCCAGGAACCCCATTCAGGCCCCCAAAGTGGCCATGTCAAGGCCAACTGAGGGGAGAGGTTTTGTGCTGGAACTTACTGTGCCCCAGAAGCCCAGGAGGGTGTTGAATCCCTTGCTCCAGGATCTGATTTGTATTTTAAAGGGATGACCTGGCTGTGGTGAGCAGGGCAGATAGAGGGGATAAAAATCGTTGCAGGAGTTTGTTGCCACCTCTGGGAGAGAGATAACAGGGGCTTGGCCAAGGCAAAGCCTGGGCAGAGAGAAAGGGCCAAAGAGGCTGCAGAGGTTGGTGCCTCAGTGTTGGTCTGGGACTGAGGTTTGACCAGGTGATATGGTGGCAAGACAGGAGCAGGGGCCCTGAGAGCGTTTGAAGTGAGAAGTTTGCGCAGGAGCAGCCAGTGGGTGGGGAAAGGAGGGACCCGTCCAGTGCATGCTCAAGTCCTTCCCTGGCTTGCTCTTGCTCTTGCTAATGGGCCTGGGGCTCAGTCGCATTCCCTCTGTCAGTCACCAAAGTCCTGTAGAGCCCGCCCGAGCCAGTGCCCAGTGGGAAAAGAAATGAGGACAGCAAACAGGACATCACAATGCAGGCAGAGTCCTCCAGGTCCAGGACAGACCTGGCAAGATACACATTTGGGGAGGAAAGCTCTATTATGGTGCTGCAGGAGCAGAAGCTGTCCAGGGAAGGGACAGAGGCCCTGGGAGCAGGAAAGTGGTGATGCAATGACAAAAGGAGCTGGTGGCCATGGGCAAACCCAAGAACACAAATGGCACCATTTAAATACTTTCAAGGCAAAGAGTTTCTTGCAAGTGTGATCTTGCTGGCCAGAGGTCTCTCACTGAAATGCTTCTGTCCCAGAGGGATAAACTCTCCTGTGGCAGCTTTTATTCTTCCCTGAGTTGTGGGAGGTCCCTGGAGTGGTGACCCTTGATGCTTCCTGAAGCACTTGCCATGGGCCAGGCATTGAGTCAGACTCGGACCCCCAGCCTCCAAGTTCACAATCTGATCTAGCGGGTCGTGACACAGGCTGATGGACATTCAAAAGAGGGAGGAGACACTGGACACTTACCTGGGAGGGAAGCACAGGGAGGGTTACCTGCCTGAGTCTGCTTTGACCACAAGGTGACATTTAAGCCAAATCCTTCACCAAATGCTGACAGCATTTGAGCACGTTCGTGCCTATGAGCACCTTTGTGCCTCCCCCTGGAAGTAATTGCTAGCCTAAATTGGGTGTTTATCATTCACTCTTTTTGTTCGTAGTTGGCTGACCACTTGTGTATGTGCCTCTAAACAGTCTAATGCTCAGTCTGCTTGTACTAGAGCTTGATAAAATAGCATTGTACTGTCCTGCCCATAACCCTGTGCAGGGGGCACTGGTAGCCTTGTACCTCACTGCGTAATCCAGTGCCTGAGCCTTCCGCGACCATGGCTCCCTTCTCCCACTGGTGGACACAAGGGGTGCTTGCTTCTCTTTGGTCTCATTGTTTGCTATGAGGTCCTTCGTGCAAGTAAAATTACGTTTACTCTACAGATCAGTTCTGGAGGACTGACACCTTTACCGTATCAAGTCTTTCTTTTTATGACTGTGGGATCTCTCCATTCACTTAGGTCTTCTTTAATTATTTCAATAAAATGTTAGGGTTTTCCATACATACGTCTTTCACATCTTCTATTAGATTGATTCTTAGGTACCAAGTAGCTTTTGTAAATGGTGTCTTTTTTTTTTTTTAAGCTGAGCCATCCTGCCACCTGTTGGCAGCTCAGCGGCTGCTCAGCTCGGGCCGGGAATCGAACTGCTGTTGCTCAGAGCTCAAACTCTTGAGCGAGCTCTTAACCAACTGAGCCACTCGGCCAGCCCTTGTAAATGGTGTCTTGATTTAAATTATATTTTGTAATTCTCTGTTGCTGGTGTATGTATAGAAATACAATTGATTTTTTTGCACATGCTCATCTTGTAGCTGGGACACTTTCTAAACCCTTATTTCCAAAATTTTGTCTATAAATTCATTTGGATTTTATATGTAGACAATCCTATCATCAGCAAATAATGATAGTTTTGTTTATTGCTTTACACTCATTATACTTTGGATTTCCGTTTCTTGTCTTACTGCTCTGGTAGTAGTTTTGTTCCAAATTTCGAAGGCCATGTTTCCAAAGCTTCAACATCAAAAATAATATTTACTCTAGGTTTTTTGTTGATAGTCTCCATTAGGTTAAGAAAGGTTTTTTGTAGATAGACTATCAGATTAAGAAAGTTCCCCTCTATGCAGTTTGCTAAAAATTTTAAAAATTATGACTATTTTATCAAGTGCTTCTGCATCTATTGAAATACTCATATGGATTTTCTCCTTTAATCAGTTAATATGGGAAATGGCATTTATAGATTTCACAATCCAAGGACAAGTCAAATTTTGCTGAGAACCTACAAAATATAGTCTGTATAAAAAAACATCAAATTGCAAAAGCATCTATACAGTACACTATCATTTATGTAGAGTTTAAAAACCTGCAAACGTTTATATATTTATGGAGATGAATATGTAGTAAAAACAAAAGAACATGAAAAAATGGAACATTCTATCATAGGGTATAAAATCAGAACTTTTCATGAAATTAGTTGCTTTGTTCAAATGGATATAAAATATATACATGAAAAAGGAATGTTACATTTGGACCAATCAATGCAAGCTTGCCAACAGTCTGTTTTTACCTATATTTTTTCACAAGTGTTTCTTTTTTAACTCCAAGTGATTTTTTTCCCCTTCTGGTGATTTTTAAAAACTTTTATCTTGAAATAATTACTCACACCCAGTTGCAGTCCTAATCATCTTTGAATCTTCTCTTCTTGCTGGCTAATTTTTGTGGCTCCACCTTTTCTTTCTTTACAGATTTCGATTATAGTATTTTCCACATTCTGCCTGACATTGTCGATTTCAGAAGTACCCAAGGGTTTCAACCTTGTTTCTGCTGCCGTTAAGCAAAGTACTTCTTTTTGTTGTATGTTTGGTGATTTTGGGGAGGCCTTTTTGCTTGATCTTCATCTATGGACAAACTGGAGGCCTAAACTGAGCTTGCTTTTCTCTAAAGGATTTGCTTTCCTGCCAGGAGGACTACCACCCTGGATTTGCTTTGGCTCCCACCCTGGGTCCCAAGCTCAATCTAGGTGTTCCCCTTCCCACCTCACACCACAGCACGTTGCTTGGGGAGGCTCACCGAGCCCCTCAGAGACCTCCTACCTCCTGGGAACCAGCGGGGGAAGGGTTAAACATCTCCCTACTTCGCTAGCTTTGGGTTTTGAAGCAAGTCCATTAGCTTTGCTCTGCCTCCTTTACAAAATGAGATGAATTCCTACTTTTGCAAGGTTGTCATGGGGATTACAGACAATGACTGAAGTTAGTGACTGGTGCGTGCTGAGAGCTCTGCTGAGAGCTCTGAGAGCTCGGTACCCATCTGCTCAAGTGCTCTTGATGTGCCCAGGGCTCTAAGGGTCCAGCCTTCCAGTGTGGGGGGGTCACCTCCCATCCTCACCACTACAGAAAGGCCAGAGGTAAAACAGCACAATGCAGATGCTTTATTGTTTACAAAACATGGAACCCAGCCCCAGGGGACTCCAGTGATGATGGACACAGAAAGGACCTGGCCAAGTCTCAGGCTTTTGCTGAAGCCTCTGTTCCACTGGGCTCCAATTCTGGCCAAGGGCTGCTCTTCTGCCTGCAGCGTGGGGCCAGGCCTTGCCTGAGGTTCCTAGGCTGGTAGGAAGCTCGGGCAGAAGGAAGCTGTGACTGAAGGTTACCCCTGATGAGGTGGTGAGCAGCTCTCAAATTGGGGCAGGTGGGTGGAGGCCAGGCCAAGGGCCTGTGTGCCCCTCCCTGAAGCTCCAGCCTAGCTACCCACTCCCTTTCAACCACCCTCTCTCCAGACACCAGCTCTTGGAGGAGCAGCTGTGACCCTTCCTTCAACTGAAGAACCACAAAGGAGCTGGAATGCTCACCAACTAGGCGAGGGCACCCTTTAAGGGTTACGAACAAATTTGTCTAAAAAACCGTATCTGAGCTCAAAGCATCAGTCCATTCCCCAGCACCAGCTGTGTCAGGGTCAAGAACCCAAAGGCAGCCCTGGGAGCCTGGCAGATGGAGTGTGGGTCCCAGAGCTGCTTCTTCCCCAGGCCTCAGGGGACCCCTCCCAGAGCCCTGCAGGGTCTGGGCGGGGCAGGTCTATCTCCCAGGCTGCAGGTGGTTGTGGAGCTGCTCCGCCTGGGTCTTCAGGCGCTGGAATTCCTCCTGAATGAAGTCAGTCAGGGCTTTACGCATCTCCACCTGAGGGGAAGGACTGGGTCTGGCCTGCAGTCTTCAAGGAGCATCACCCTGGGCCCCTGGGAGGCTGAGGGCACTGGGAGGGGCCAAGGACAGCAGGGGGCAGCCCAGGGAAACTCACAGCTGACTTATTTTCTGCCCGGAGCCGCTCGAGCACAGGCAGGGCACTGAAAGGCTTCCCAATCAGCACAGTGATTTTCTGCAGGGAGACCAGGTGACAGGAATAGGGAGTGCTCATAACCCCAGCCCAACGCCCTGGGGAGAAGCCGAGTCCTGCCTCTAACTTGCTATGTGCTCCCTCAGGCCACTCCCGTCTATAAAACCAGGCTCACTGGCATCCAAGGGCCATCCCAGTCCTAGGGTCCATGCTCTAGATGTCCCGTCCTGTCCCAACCCCAGGGCCAAACCCTGATTCCTGTGCTCTCCTTCTTCCGGCCTTGGTGCCAGGAAGTCCCTCTCTATGTTCCACTTGGTCCCCCTGCTGTAGGCTCAAGCTCAGCTCCTCTTGAATCTGGCCTCAGTAATGCTGAGTGGGAGACAAGGGGCAGAGGCAGGCAGACAGACAGACAGACAAAGGTCAGCAACCCCTACCCACCTGTCCAAAGCGAGGGAAGTAGGGTGGGCTGTTAGGAAGGACGTCGTTCATTCCTGCAGCAGTGGACAGAAGGCTGGGAAGCAGGCGCAGGTGGAGAAGGGCAGCCCCAGCCCTCGCCCCAGGCACCCTGTCCCTGCCACCCAGTGGAAACCACCCCGAACACTGCCTAGAGAAGCTCCTCTCCCGGCCCCCCTCCCCAGACCGCAGGCTAGGCCTGAGGGAGACTCACCAACATGCCACAGCGGCAGGATGATGGGGTTGAGATGACACTCGGCAATCAGGCGCCCAATTCCTGTCCCAGGGAGAGGGAAACGGTGCAAGCAGAGTTGCAGTGCCAGCCCCCAGCCGGGGCCAGCCCTACCCTCCCCCAGTTCAAACCAGCTCCCCTGGGCCAGCCCTTGTCTAGGCATCTATCCCCTTGCTGATGCTACCAACACACCCATCTGCCCCATATGCCATGGTACACCCCAGCCAAAGAGGGCCAGCAGCCCTTACCCCACTTGAAGCGCAGGAACTCGGAGCTCATGTTCACTTTCCCTGTCCAGAGAGACAGGGGACAGAGGTGAGGCTGTGGAGGGGGCCTGGGGGGTTCCACCCATATTCTTAGGGGTGTTGTCAGCCCATATTCTTGGGGTTCGCTCCACTGACCTTCTGGGAAGATGTGCACCCAGTCCCCGTGGTTAAGCTTCTCCAAAATGAAGTCCATTCCCTTCTGGTAGACGCCGTCTCCTGCCGAGAAAAGGCCTCTCCCCATCAGTCCCCAATCTTCCCTGTCCCTGGGGATGAAGCAACAGCTCAGGAACTTCCTCTTCCCCACTGAGCTGTCCACAGGGACACCCACCAATGACTGTCTCTCCTGGGCCTGCTCAGCCCCAGCTGCACCACTCCATACCATACCACGGCCCTTGACACCCTTTGTTTAATAATATCCTCTAAACCTCTAAGTGCCTGTCATGTGCAAGGTGCCATCGTCTCAAACTGTCTCCAACTGAAATTCTGAACTTGACAACTCTTCCACTGATCTCCAACCTCACTTTCTGCCTGTCGGTCCCCCCACAGCCTCACCCGATGAGCCATTCAGCCACATGCATGTGCAATACACCCCTAGCAGACAGCCCCCCCCACCCCAGTCCACACACCATCTTCCCTCCCTCTCCAGCCAGGCTCTTCGAGCTGCCTTTCTCCTTGGTATGCCCCACCCTGGGGCAGGTCTGTGTCTGCTGCCCTTGGCCCAGGGGCGCTGCTGGAGCAAACCAAGTCTACTCATGACTTCCAGCCTCCCTCAGGCCCCAGGTTCTGGAAAACTACCCTTTCCCAGGGTATCAGCCAAGCCAGTTCCCTCGGCCACTCCTCACAGGCCTCCCAGCCCTGCCCGCGCCCTCAGCATCCTCCATCCCTCCCTCCTGCTGGCCCCTTCCTCACAAGGCTCCCCCTGAAAACCAAACTCTCCATTTGATAAAACATATGGTGTTGCCAGTTGGGAAGAACTCAAACTTTCTACTGAAAAAAGTGGAGTTGAGCTGTCCCCAATGCTAGCAACACTCACCTTGGAGATGCCCTTAGGCCAGGATACTGGACCCAGGCAGCCCGGCCAGCGGTCAGCAACAACAGACACAGACACCTAATGCTGTGTGCTGGCCTTCAACTTGGAGCCATGTGGAGACAACCTGTGACCACACTCAGGAAGCATTTCATCAACCTTGTCCGTACAGTAGACAGAGACAGAGAAGGAGGAGGTTGAAGGAGCGGGTAAACCTCCTCATCTCAGCAAGGAGTGAGTACAAAGCCACATCACAGAGGGAGAGGCCCACACTGGGACTATCTCAGGCCAATGCACGAAGAAATGGACTTTTAACCTTTTCTGTGCAAGGCTGAGTCTCTGGAAGGTGCTAGATAGGACTCCGGGAGTCTCAACCTAAACCAAATGGGGTCCTGGCCCGGCAGCTCCTTTTGGGGCTGGAGTTGGGGAGCCTGGTGAGAGTGGCGGTTTCCCTACATGGGATCCTGTTACCTGGTAGTGGTGGGCTTCAGGGGTGCCAGCTCCTCTATTAAAACCCACTGGTGCAACCAAGCCATCCAGCTTGAAATAAAAATTTTAAAACAATGCTATGCTTTTGGAGCAATGCTTCATAACGTTTAGCTTTTGCAAATGTGCTTTCTGCTCACTTGTAGAGCTTGGGGGAAAGGGGAATTTTTTGGAACACAGAAGCAGAATATGCCCGGTACGTCCTTTGCTTCAACACATGTTGTTAGATCTTTGCTGTCCATCAAATGAGTTTGATAAAAGGCTTGTTCCTGCCCTGCCCACTCTCTCTCACTGAAGGTGCTTAGGGTTAAGATTTCGCTGTTTTTAATTGTGCAATAAACCTTAGATGCAGGTCAAAAAGAAGAATGAGATAAGAAATGGACCTGGGAGGCCTCTGCCTGAAGTTGCAGAAGGGAGGAACTGAGACTAAGGGACGGGAGTACATGAGCAGAGTCCCCATCTATCAGAGCAGGGCACGGTAAACAACGACACGATCACCAGCCATGACATTGCTTATGCTTTAGAGAAACGAAGCATCCTCCAAAAGCAGCAAAAAGAGCAAGCGGTCCAGGCAGCTGTCTCTAGGGAGTAGTCTGAGGAGTTGGAGGTGTGGCCAACACAGCTTTTCATTTATTTGAGGTTTATTGGACTTGACCATGTTTCACTCTGACCAACTAGAAATAAACTCCACCTTGACACCTCTAACACCCTGGGTTATTTACTTCCTCTCCCTCTCAACCAGCCTCTGGGAGGAGTGGCCACCCCCTCCTGCCCTCCAGCCTCAGAAGCTCCTGGGGCTGTCACTCCACAGAAATGGCTTCTCTGGGGTCCTGCTTTGCTCCTTTCCTCTCTGACCATTGCTTCCTACAGCCTTGGTGACTTGTCTGCCCTTCTGTGCTCTGGGGTGCCATCCTGAGCCCCAGCTCTCCCCCTCTGCAATCTCACCTCTATGTTTGTCACTTCCTTTGTGGTTGAGTCCCCAGTATCTTTATTCCCAACTGTTCTGAGTTCCAGAACTGCATACCCCATTGCCTCTGGGACTGCTCCCCTCCTTGAGTGAGAGGCTCCTCAGATGAAGCACGTGCAAAACGGGGCTACCATCCCTCCCAACCCCCACACTGCTTTTCCCTCATTCTATCCTCCCAGTGGCTCAGTGTCACCAGATGTCACCTAGCGTCATCTCTGAGTTCTCTTTTCCTCGCCCCCTCCCATAGCCAACATATCAACAAATTCTGTCAACTCTGTCTCCAGAGCAGTCCCTTTCTCAGGCTTCTCCACAGTGACACCCCCCCCCCAGAAGCGCAGCTATAATCCTCTGCTGCCAGAATTGCTGTGACAGCCCCTAACCGGGTTCCCCGCCTGCCCCGGGGCCTGTTCCCATCCACCAGGGTGCACTCGCTCTCTCTCTCTCTCTGAACCACAGACAAAAGCACCTCACCACTCCAATGAAAGAGCAAGGGGCCCATTCCTCCTCACCGACGCATCAACTCCAGGCTCTGAAATTCTTCACATGGTTATTCTAGAACCTCACACTCGGCCTGCAACCTGCATTTTTCTACCATTATCCCTTGCCTCTCCAGTGCCTGACACGTGCTTCCTATGACCAGAATGCTTCCCTTTCATACTCTGCCTGGAAAAATTCTACGTCCCCAAAGGAAAGAGCAACCTGGATTCGAATCCTGGCTTTGCCACCTCTTACCGTGACCTTGGGTCAGCTGCTTAATCCCTCTGAGCTCCTTTACCTGGAGAATGGGACCCAAAAATGGCCCCTAATTCTGGAGGCTCTCGAGAAGTACTCAGGAGTCATTCAATGTCACACACCTCACCCCACCAGCATGTTTGTTCTCCCAAACCCTGCAGCACGCCACCTCCATCACAGACCCATGACACCACACTGCCATCAGTGAGTCTCTCAGGAACATCCTCAAGAGAAGGGACTGTGGATAATGCCGCCTTGACTTCTAATGCCAGAGCTCCAGGTTTGCACAATCCTCAGGCAGCCAGAGAATCGAGCCCTCTCCAAGAAGCCATCGCTTCTCTAGCAGCCACTGCCACCCCTGCTGCCACGCAATGGAGCTGAACTCCTGCTGGTGGGGCAGCAGCCCCCAACTCCCCTTGCTCCCAGGCTGCCTGTCCCACCTGGGTCCCTCCACTCCCAGTGCTGCCAAGCCAGAGGCACTGGTCACCCGAATCCCTGCCCCAAGGGAGGCCAGAGAAGCCTGCAGAAGCACCTCCCTGCACCCACTGGCCCACCAGCCCCTCTGGGAGGAACAGCTCACCTCGGCATACGGGCACGCACTTGCCCAAGCTGAAAAAGTGGGAGTGTAGCTCCTTGGTGAAACAGATGTCTGCAGCTGCAGGGGTCCTGGAGTGGGCACAGACGCAGTCATTCCTACCTCCCCTGCACCCTGCTTCCCAGCCCTCCCCATAGCATGATGCATGACATCATCAGCAATGCGCAATGGAGGCACAGGAGGGCCTGCGGGGCCCCACCCCCATGCCCTGCCTGGACTGCTGGACACCGCCTCCTGGGCAGAGCAGGAGGAGGACAAATCTGGGCAGAGACGGGTGAGGACTCCCATTCTGCCAGGCCCATTGGGAGGGGTCCATTCCTCCTCACCAACGCATCAACTTCAGGTTCCAGATGTGGCGGAGTTTCAGGATCCCTAGAGAAGGAGAGGAAAGGCTTCATGCCCCAACTTCCCTTGTCCCTAGGGAGCACCTTTTTTCGTTCACCCTATTTCAGGGAATGAAGGTCAAAGGCAGCAGCACTACCAGGTCACTATGGCCCAAAATGGCATCTTCCAGACCCTTGGGCTGGACCCCCAAGTTCTCCCTGACTCCTTGCTCTCTCCCACTCCCCAAATCTTATTAGTCACCATGTCTGGTCTGCCTACCTCCCCAACATATTTTGACGCTGCCTATTTTTCTGCACCACTCTCTCTAATGTCACGACCACCACCCTAGTCTAGGCCACTGGATGGCTCTAAAGCCTCCTTCCTGGCCTCCTGGGATCTGCCTGTGGCATCCCACAGACAGTTCTCTGCACAGAGGTCAGGGTGAGCTCTGAAAGGCTCCCATTCCACCAGGTGGTCGGTCCCCCATGAGCTCTAGGGTAGTCTGACCTGCATTCAGCAGTGAATGCTCTGGAAACCGCCCCCTCCCTACCCAGCCGCCCAGGTTACTGGAGCCAAGCAATTCCCTGTGAAGTCAGTAGAGCAGGAACTTCTAGGTGGGGAACCCAGCTCCCAAACAAGGCTGGCTGAAGGATATAAACCCAGCCTGGGGCAAGCCTGGAACCAGGATACAGGTCTTCCAGCCCCAGCCCAGAGTTTCCTTGACAGGTCCTTAGATTTGTTCCCAAGACTCTGTGGGATCTTCAACGGTTTAGACTGGAGGGTTCCACAGGCCTGCTGCATCAGAGTAAAGAAGCTGTCAGACCCTGTCAATGCAGCCATTCCCTCATTCTCTCCAAATGGCTGAGGCCCTCTCTCTCCAAATCACCTTCCCTAAGAGGATGCTGAAGGAACCACAAATGAAACTTTCACAGCTGGGGTAGGACACCCCAGAAATACTAGTGCCCAGCAAGAAGTGAGTTTGTTCTACTTTTGTTTGGCCCCTTCCGGGGTTCTCTCCCCGCCTCCCTGTGCCCAGAACATTGGCCAGGGTACCCCAGAGATGAGGGTCATCCATGCAGGACTGGTGATTGGAGACGGTGATGAGGGGGGTGGCTGGGCCTCGGTTCTCGATGAGCTCATACAGCACCTCCTTGTTGTGGACGGTGAGGTGGTTCATGTACTCTGGGGGGAGAGAAAAGGGGGGTCTTGGCCTCCTTCTCCCTTGGGTCCCAGGGGTCCCCCCCAGACAAGACAAGCTCACTCACTGGTCCAGAAGCAGCTGTAGGTGCCCACCAGGCCCATGACGACGCTGCTGGCCAGGGTCCAGGTGAGCGGCGGCACAGTGGGGAACGGCCATTTCACATGTAGGGGCATCACCCACGCACACCGCCCCTGACGTCCCGGCGGTTCCCCTGCCACGGGGCAGCCTGCGGGGCTGCTCTAGGTCAGTGTCCTCAACCGCTCTAGAGCCGGGTCCCTAACAGGCCCGCGCCACAGGGGACTCGACCAAGGTCACCTCGTAGGGCAGGACAGAGGCGGGCCCGGCCCCGCTCTCTCGCCACAGACGAGCCACTACCGGGATCAGGAACCGGGGGTCGCAGTGTAGAGCGCCTGGAGCAAGAAACGGCAACCGCGCGCCCGGCGAACCCGCCGGAAAGCGAGCCCGCAACGGCGCCTCGCTCCCCGGCCAACTGTCGCAAAACGAGCTCAAGCCGCTTGACGGCAGCGGGGGCCATCCGGCGGTCCGCGGGCCCTCGCCCCGGCCCCGCCCAGCCCCGCCCGGCCCCAGCGCAGTCAGGGTTCCCGGCCGCCCGCCAGCTACGCGTCCCTTTTGTCTCAATTCGTTCCCAGAAACGTCTCCGCAGTTAACAGGGATTGCACAGCACTATTACCTGACACCACTCAAAGTCCAGGCTGGCGAAGCACTTTTTCTTTAGTTTTTTTCCCCTTTGTTTTTATTGAGGTAAAATTCACATAACATAGAATTAACTACTTGTAGCGTTTTATAGTATATATTTTATGTACATAACATATTATGTTATACATATTACATTATGTAATTTTATATAATTACGATATTACAGTATTGTGCTATATGTATATATGTCATATATAATGTAATATGTGACATAATATATAATATGTAGTCATATATACATATAACGAAATATGTATTCCAGTATTTCTATATCATTTAATACATTCGCAGTGTTGTCAACCACCACCTCTAACTAGTTCCAAAATATGTTCACCCCCAAAAGAAAGACCTGTACCCCTTAAGAAGTCTATTTTTTATTTTTAAAGCATAATTGTATTGATTAAAGAATTTTTTCCAACGTACTCATCACCACCTTCAATACATTAGTGCGTAGGCCCTGGCAACGGCGACATTGTCCTGATAACCGCGCTACAACCGTCCAGTGAGGACCCACCTGCCACCCTCAGACGCCACTGGAGTTCCCTAGTTGCCCCAACAGCGACAGTGCAGGACCCCACGCAGTACTGAGCTGCCAGCTCTCTAGTCCCCTTCTCTGGGGGACAGTTTTTCAGTCTGCCCTTGACTTCCACCACTGGCCAGTTCCTGCGCCGACTGTCGCTCACTTTGGGTCTCCAGAATGCTCAGGAGTATGCACCCACACTGGGGACCGGCCCGAGGACATGGAGAGAAGGCTATCATTCTTGGGATGCCCAGGCTCTCTGCGGGGCTCCCCTATGTCAGGCGCGAGCTCCAGTTTTTGTGTCTTCTCCAACAAGATGCTGCCTGGAGGCGTCCTGGGGCGGCGCTGAGCCCCGGGCCAGGGAGAACCCAGCTCGGGGTTTCCACTCTGGCGCCAGTTCTTCCTAGCCTGGCGCCCTTGGCACAGGCAACCACTCTTTAAGGCGCTGCTGCGGCTCAATCGTTCTCTGTGATTCACAGGTCTCTCATCTGCCTGCAGCCCCGGGCTTCCTCCCGCTCCCAGTCCGACGCAGGCCCAGAGGAAGGTGGGGCCTGGTGGGAAAGTGGGCTGGCGCGTTGGCTGTTCCCTTGCAAGGCGCCCACTCTACTTGTCAGAGCCGGGGCGGAGACAGGGGCCGAGCCAGTCTGCCAGGAAGGGTGGGGCCGCCGGCCTGGCCAGGACGTGGTGGGTCGGGAAGACAGTCTCTTCCTCTTCTGACAGTCTCTTCTCCAGCCTCTGCAAGGTAGGCGCGGCGATTCCGTGGGGTGTCCTGATGTGCTTACAGCTGAGGCAGGCATGCAGACAAGCTGGTATGGGCGCCCTCTGGGCAGAGGGAGGGAAGAAATTCACCCCCACGGTGGGAGTGGGGGGGTGAGAAGGGAAGGGAGCCCCAGGACTGAGGCCAAGGCTTGGTGTTGGGTTCTGGGGCTGAGTTTTGGACTGAGTGCAGGAACAATCACTCGCTGGTTCTTCTTGCCCTGCGTCCTCGTGGGGGCCCCTAGCCCTAAGGCCTCCAAGACTGCCCTTGCCAGCCCAGGGTTGCCGAAATGCCCACATACATCCCAAAATAGGCACCAGGGCAAGAGTCCCAAAATAGCATGAGTGACAGAGCAGGTGACCAGGGAGAAGCGGGCATTGAGCATAGCCAGGAGAGTGAAAGAGGTATGCAGAGATGTAATGACAGACGAACAGACAAGAGAGAGCGGAAGACAGAGGCAGGTAGAGCCTGAGAGAAGCAGAAAGTGAGCCTGAGGGGGAAAGTGACAAGGTGACAGAGAAGAGCAGGCAGACCGAAATAGAGGGACTGATGTCGCTGAATGAGAGTCACATGAAGAGGGAGTGGATCAAGGGGCTGAGCCCAAGAGACAGAGCAAATTCTGGGTGAGTCTGAGACAAAGGGAAGCCGAGGAAGATGCTCAGGAAGAGGGGTCTCCAGTTGGTAAGATGAACAAGAAGGGCTCGCCAGTGTTGGCGGGGCGTGGGAAAGGGGCCCCATCACACACTGCAGTGGGGTGATTTGAGATAATTATAATGCATACACCCTTGAACCCAGCAATTCCACTCCTGGGAGTTTCTCTTAAAGATAACATCTCACAAGTGGGGAGAGAGATATGCCCAAGGATGGTCCTCTTAGTTGCTAATGGTGGTGAAAAGAGGGGATCAACTCTGAGGTTGAATCCTTGTGCACTGCTGGTGTGGATGTAAGTTGGTGCAGCTGCTATGGAAAATAGCCTGGCAGTTCCTCAATGAATTAAACATAGCGTTACCATATGACCCAGCCATTCCACTTCTGGGTGTGTACCTAAAAGGATTCAAAGCAGGAACCTGGTACTTGTACATTCATGTTCACAGCAGCATTACTGACAGTAGCCAGAAGGTGGAAGCAACCCAAGTGTCCATCCACAGAGGAATGGGTGAACAAAACGTGGTCTATCCATACAATGCAATATTATTCAGTCTTAAAAAGGAAGGAAATCTTGACACATGCTACAACATGGATGAACCTTGGGGACATTATGCTAAGTAAAATAAGCCAGTCACAAAAGGACAGATAGTGTATGATTCCATTCTGTGAGGTTCCTGGAGGAGTCAAACCCATAGAGACAGGAAGAAGTAGGGTAGTTGGTGCCAGAGGCTTGGGTAGCAGCGGGGAGGGGGGGAGGTTAGAGTCTAATAGGGACAGATTTTAGCTTGGGAAGATGAAAATGTCTGGGGATGAACAGTGGGGATGGTTGCACAATAGTGTGAATGCACTTAATGCTGCTGAACTGTACACTTAAAAATGGTTCAGATGGTAAATTCTATGCTATGTGTATTCTACCACAATTAAAAGAATGAGGTTGAGCCATATGTGTCAGTATCAGAAGGTGTCTACAGGGAGAAAGGCAGGAAATCTGCAACGCTGGCAACTCTGGGAGGCTGGTGCTGGGCAGCAGGATGAACAGCACTTTCTCTGTCCCGTAACACCATGTCCTTCTGAAACCAGAACTGAACCCAACTGAGACCACACCCTGGGGTGACCTGGATTCCTCTGGAGGGTCCCAGCAGCCCGCACACAGCCATGCACTGCCCAGCCGCTCTCCTGCTCCTCCTCCTGGCTGGTGGGGCTGAGGCCTTCCGCATTTGTGCCTTCAACGCCCAGCGGCTGACGCTTGCCAAGGTGGCCAGGGAGCATGTGCTGGACACCTTAGTTCGGGTAGGTTCATCACTGTAGGATAGGGTAGCTGTGCCCCTAAGGACCAGGATCCAAAGCCCCCAGCCCTACCTGACCAGGGACATGTCCCAGAGAAGAAGGGACATCAAGAGACATGGGTGCCAAGACATGGAGCACGTTCCTTGCCTTTCGTTGGCCTGTCACTTCCCCTGTAAAATGGGTGCGGTGTGAGTTCAGATGACACTCACTCTTTTCCCAGGTCTTTTCTAGTCCCACTGCTCTCTGTGGGCCGCGGCTGGCATGCCATGACACCCTTGCCCACATCAGTGCCAGTTCCTCAAGGACTCTACGCCCCTCCTGGGGCGGCTGGCACTGAGTGAGGCTGGCCTTCCTGGTGCCCTGCAGATCCTGGCTCGCTGTGACATCACGGTGCTGCAGGAGGTGATAGACTCTACTGACAGTGCCATCTCCCTCCTGGTTCGAGAACTTAACCGGTGAGGTGGGCTCTGTGGGTCTAATCTGGGGCCCCTCAAGCCTCAGGGCCCCTGACCTTGGGCTCCCCTTTCCTGGCAGATTTGATGGCTCTGGGCCCTACCGCTTCCTGAGCAGCCCTCTGCTGGGGCGTAGCACGTATATGGAGAAGTACGTTTACATCTACCGGTAAGCACAGATGGTGGCCAGGGCAAACTTGGCACTTGACCTACTGTGAGATGGTTTGGAAGTCCCGAGGGCTACAGGCCCCTTCCTCCTGGGGCAGCCCTCACCTTCTCATTGCACTTTTTCTCAATGGATTAATTGAGATCCACTTCTCTACACTCGCCAGCTTTGGTGCTCGCATGTCCCTATAGCAGGAGGCCTTCCTTCTCCACACACAGATATGGGGCCCCTGTGCCTCTCTCCTGTGGAAGCTACTGGGGCTCAGGACAAGTCTGGCCCCCTCTTTGGGAGTGGCTGGCTGCAGCTTCTGGGAAGAGGGCCAGCGGGGGCCCCATCTTTGGCTTTGGGTTGATTATGGTTTCTGGAGACAGCCCTAATTCCCTGGGAGGACAGCCTGATGGGGAACCCATTGGAGTCAGGATTGAGAGGGAAGGGAACCTGTTTCTCTATGTAGATGAAATTATATATGTCTAGAATTCCTCCAAAATAACAGGGAAACAGAAACATGTCCACACAGGAATGCTCACAGCAGCATCACTCATAACACCCCAAAGTGGAAACAACCCAAGTGTCCATCAGCTGATGAATGGATAAATATTGGGTTGTTTGAAAAGTCATAACGCATTTTTGCAACGAAAAACATAGAAAAAATACGTCATGACTTTTCCGACAACCCAATAAAAGGTGGTCTCTCCATCCAATGGAATGTTATTCAGCCATAAGAAGGAAATACTGACCCATGCTACATCATGGGTGAAACTTGGAAGCCTATGCTAAGGGAAAGAACCCAAATACAGACCACATATTACTTGATTACATTCACATGAAATGTCCAGAATAGGCAAATCTACAAAGACAAAAAATAGGTCAGTGGCTGCCAGGGGCTGAGGGGGAGGAGAATGGGAAGTTACTGTTATGGGTACAAGGTTTCTTTTTGGGGTGATAAGAATGTTCTATTATGGTAGAACTGACTGTAGTGATGGCTGCACAACCTTATGAATGTACTAAATGCCACTGAATTGTGCATTTAAGCAGATGAATATTATGGCATGTGAATTCTATCTCAATAAAAAAATTCTAGAAAAAAGGCTAGGAAGGCTATGCCCACATAAACAGAGCTGCTGAGGGAGGGCCCCCTTCCTGAGTGCCACCTCTGATGTTGCACTTGCAAACCAAAATCAGTGATGTGGGGCCACTGCTTCCCGTCCCTTGGTCCTCCAGGTCACACAAGACGCAGGTCCTGGATTCCTACGTGTTCCAAGACAAGGATGACCTCTTTGCCCGGGAGCCCTTTGTGGCTCAGTTCACTTTGCCCAGCAAGGGTAGGAGAAGGGTGGCCCTGCTATGTGGGAGCTGGAAGGGGGGTCTGGCTGGCTCTATTGGGGGCTTGGTCACCCAGAGGAAGCTGGGTGGAGAAGGGTCAGGAGTGAGTGGGAGCCCTCCATCCCTGGGGTCTTGCAGTCCTTCCCAGACTGGTGTTGGTCCCCCTGCACACTACTCCGAAGGCTGTAGAGAAGGAGCTGAACGCCCTGTATGATGTGTTTCTGAATGTTTCCCAGCACTGGCAGAGCAAGGTAGGGCTGGGCAGATTACACAGGAGGGATGGGGACCGCATGGCAGGCTGGCCAGCCCTAATGGCTGGCCCCCTCTCCAGGACGTGATCCTGCTTGGGGACTTCAACGCTGACTGTACTTCGCTGACCAAAAAGCGCCTGGGTGAGCTGCTGCTGAGGACTCAGGCAGGCTTCCACTGGGTGATTGCCGATGGGGAGGACACGACAGTGAGAGCCAACACCCACTGTGCCTATGACAGAATAGTGCTGCATGGGGAGCGCTGTCAGAGCCTGCTGCACACTGCAGCCACCTTCAACTTCCCTAGGAGCTACCAGCTCACTGAGGAGGAGGTAAAGGCATGAGGCAGGAACAGGGTTGCAGGGAAGTCCCTCAGCCCCAACACTGACGTTTTGTCCCACTGCACACCCCCAGGCCCTCAACATCAGTGACCACTACCCTGTGGAATTGGAGCTGAACCGGGCAGCGCACAAGATCCAACCCCTCAGCCTGGCCGCTCTGTTGCTGCCGTCGATGCTGCTGCCATTCCTGCCTCCCGAGCTGGGCCTGGTGGCCTGAACACCCCCACACACACCCCCACACCCCCACCCCGTGCCTGGTGCCCACAGGTGTGATGACTACACTGCCTTCAGGACTCAAACCCTGGCCTTCCCTGCCCATACTGCCCTGGGGCCAGAAGCAAAGCCCGAGGGGCTTCAACCCCACCCCTCCTCCACCCCCAGCCCCACCCTACTAGAGTGCAGCCCTACCCTGCCCATCCCAGCCCTGCCCCTATTGGACTGCAGCCCTCTGCCTTTGCTTTGGCTTGTGTTCTTTAGTTGGGCTTGGGCCTGTGCCTGGCATTAGAATGTGGAAGAGGAAGGCAGGGGCCCTAAGGCTGGAGCTATAGCACTCTTCCCCTAGCTAGTGAGGAATGGGGACAGGGCAGCCTCCAGGGCTGGGCAAGGCGGAAGAGATCTCTGGGACATGATGATCTTGGCTAAACTCCTGCACAGCTCGGAAAAGGGAATTACAACAGTAGAGATTTCAAGAGAAGGAAACTTGCCTACAGGCTAAGAATGAAAAGCTAGATTGGGGGGACATTACACGTGCATCCATGGGTTGAGGTCATTTATTGTACACAGGATACATAGGAATCAATGTAAAAAGCCCAGTAGATCCAAGAAAGAAGATAGTTCACACACACACACACACACACACACACATGTGAACAGTGAGAAATATTTAAGCTCATTTGTAATTCAATGAATGAAAATAGCTGCATACAACTCTGGTGCCTGTGGTCAACTCAAGTTCATAACCACTGTAGCCTCCGTCCATGTCAGCATTCACATGGCATGCCCCCAGGGAGGCTTGGTTACCACGGATACAGGTGCCCAGAAAATATTGAACCAGCCATCATGTAACCAGAATAGTTGTGTGAATGCACGGTTGCAAAGGGCAAGAGGGTGGAGAACTGACATTAACCATGATCCTATTTAGGGTGTTGTCAAGGGACCCCTCCTTTCCCAGCTCCATTTTCCAGAGAAGAGTTCAGAAAAAGCAGTGGGACATCAGGGTCATTAAGCGCAGTTCCTCTTATTTATGGTTTAGAAATATCTCCCCGAAATCAACAATAAAGGTCGTTTTGAACTTTAAAAGTGGCTAAATAGATTACAAAAAGGCAGAGGAATCTTGTGTGCAAGTGGTGACATGCTGTGCCGCACACAGTCCAGACTGACCATCCTGCAGGCTCTTCTCCCAAGTGGAGCCTACTTTTGCTGCTCCCTAGACACCCCTGTGACCTAACACTGCTTTTGCAAGCATAGCCCCAAGCACAATTGGCGGACACCCAGCAACACACCAGGATACCCAGACTGAGGGGGGCTACAAACCCTTTGCCCCAAGGTCTCCAAGCTCTATGGACACTTCAGAGGGGTTAACTGGATGATCCAGTCTCCTGGAGGGCTGGTTAAAAAATAGCTGTGACCAAGCCCAGGGGGATGCATCTTTCATTTCTAATGCTGCTGCTGGCCCAAGAGTAGACTTACAACACAAACCTTTTCATCACTGGGGGCAAGGTACTATATGAAGGTACTGACCATGACCTTGGGTTTTGAACCTACAACCTCTGATCCAGACAGGCCCAGGTCAGTGTCCTAACTAAGCAACTGGGGAGGCTGTTGTGGGTTTGTTTCCTCACTACTGGCCCTGCTAAGTTGGCAGAATTTTTTGGAAGAGAAAGGACACTGACCCTGGGATTCCCAGAGCACCACGGTGCCCCCCCCCCCGCCCCCAACACACAAATGCAGATGCAAAGAAACAGACAGAAGTATACTTTTTATTGGTGAGCGTAAAGAGGGGGCAGTGCCAACACTCATGAGTGTAGGGCCCGCCATTTGTCCAGGGGGCCACGATTAGGGATGTATTTTACCCCACATCCATCTGGGATAAGCCGCTTTTTAGCCACCATGTCTTCAAACTCATCCGCATTAAACTTAGTAAAGCCCCACTTCTTGGAGATGTGGATCTGCGGAAAGAAAATAATTAAGTCAAGACGACTGGGGCAAGGAAAGGCAGGGCCAAAACTGTAGCACTAATTACCTTCTGGCGACCAGGAAACTTGAACTTGGCCCTGCGTAGAGCCTCAATCACATGTTCCTTGTTCTGCAGCTTGGTGCGGATGGACATGATGACTTGGCCAATGTGGACCCTGGCCACTGTGCCCTGGGGCTTTCCAAAGGCACCCCGCATACCTGTCTGGAGTCT